GCGCCTAAAATGTGTAACTTTACCTCGCGTTTGCGCCCGAGGAGGCGAATCCCTGTGAAGGGTTGCGCGGGAACCCTAAAATGTGTAACTTTACCTCGCGTTTGAACGCCCGAGGAGGCGAATCCCTGGGAAGGGTTGCATTCCCGATGGACGACAACGGTGCCACCCCCTGGCTTTAAAAGAGAGAATTAGATACCGAGATGTAGAGAGTAAGTCATAGAGGCATAGAGTCAAGTAAGTAGAGGCATAGAGTCAAGTAAGTAAGTAAGTAAGTAAGTAAAAGTAAGTAAGTAGGTAAGTAAGTAAGTAACTAAGCAAGTCAAGTAAGTAGGTATAAGTAAGTATAAGTAAGTATAAGTAAGTATAGAGATAGCATAGAGTCCAGTGTCAAGTGTCAAGTAAGTTAGTAAGTAGATTGAAGTAAGTAAGTAAGTAAGTCGTAAGCATAACATACAGTCAAGTATCAAGTGTAGAGTCAAGTATCATAGAGTCAAGTGTCAAGTGTAGAGAGTCAGTCATAGGGGTCAAGTAAGTAAGTAAGTATCAAGTGTAGAGTAAAGTATGAAGTCAAGTAAGTTGATTCTATGTCTGTCATCTATGTACTCAACTGCGGCGTTCCACACGGAAGAACCCTTCGCGATGCTTTCGGGAAAAAGAAAAGCTGTGATCTGTGTCTGGGTTTTAAGCCATAAGAACAACTCCGCCTTCAGCTCAGAGCTGAGGCCACTGCAGTTCCAGCTAAGCACCCCAAGTCGCCGCCCAAGACGAGGCTGCGTGGCGGTCTTCGGCAGAACCGGAACAAAATCTTGCTTGACGCTGATGTAGTTCCCTCGGTACCATGCAAAGCCATCCCGTGCAGCTCGTTTCAGAGCTCTGCGATAAGATCTTTTGGCAATCCTTTCACGCGATGATGCCTGTTTTGGGGGCGTAAGTTCCTCATCCTTTGCCGCCGAAGCAGCTTCAGACACCCTTGAGGAATAAGTGTCAACCCTCGCGCCGGTGGGCTTCGCTCCGCCCTTGAGCTTGCCTTGATCAGCCCACCCCCGGACTTGGGACCGGGATGAGGATGCACCGTCTTCTGCACCAGTGAAGTATCTATCTACGGAGGCGTGACCAGTAGAGACGGTGTTCGTGACTGGGGGCTCTGTGGACAAACAATCACTGGCAAGATTCTGCATGCGTGACGTCTGTCAAGGCAGCAATGACCTCCGACCTGTAGTTGTGAAATGCGAATGCCAAGAAGAGCTGAAAAGATCGCGAAGGCAATATGTACTCTGCTTCAAGTATCAACGGCGTCAACTCGTGACTGAGCAAGCGGCGTAAATACTGCACAGCCCGGCTGAGTAATTCGGCGTTCTCGGTGCAGAGCAGCTCTTCAGCTTCTTCTATGATCCAGGCTCGCAAGTGAATCACTGGAGTCAGAGCCATTGCAAAGTGCGCCCCATCATGTTTGAACCACTCATGGCGCTTACTACTACTACTACTACTACTACTACAACTACTACTACTACTACTACTACTACTACTACTACTACTATCACTCTTTTCTCACTCTAATTAGTCTTGATACTCTTGTTGCGCTTCTTACTCTTATTACTCTTTTGACTCCTATTGCGCTTCCCACCCGAATTGCCCTTAATGCTCTTTTTCCTCAATCCTCTTATTCCTCTTATTTCTCTTATTACGCCTATTCCTCTCATTCCTCTGATTGCTCTTCTTACTTTAACTATGTATTACTATAATTACCATCAGCATTGTTGCGATCATTACTGTTATTGGCGTTAAGACAACTATTACAATTATTACCTTTACTAGCACAGGTCTGATCAGTACAACAATACGATTGTTACGATTAGTACGCTTAGTACGCTTGGCGCAAGTAGCACGATTACGTTTATTACTAGTATTACGATAGTTGCGAGAATTACAAATATTTCGAGTATGACAGCATTCCGAGCACTTTGAGCATTACAAACATGGTGAGTAGTAAGAGTATTACGGAATCATTACAATTACCAGTGAAACCAAAGGAAATGTGCGTGATACGGTTATTGTTGCTACGATCATCACTAGCATCGAGTTTGTCTGACTGGTATTATTGCCAGCATGGCTATTATGGCACAAGTAATTATCTGTTGTTATTGTGTTTCCTGTTGTTGCGTTGGTTGTGGTGGTTGTGGTGGTGCTGGTGGTGGTGGTGGTGGTGGTGGTGGTGGTGGTGGTGGTGGTGGTGGTGGTGGTGGTGGTGGTGGTGGTGGTGGTGGTGGTGGTGGTGGTGGTGCCGGTGTTGTTGTTGCTGTCGTCATTACAACTGTTCTTACTGTCAGGACTACTGTTATTACTACTGACAATGAATATTTATATAAAGCATTTGAGATGTTACAACAGCATTACAAGAAACTGTTTGTTATCCTTGATCTGTTGATATTATGAACCGCGAGCATGAATATGATTATAAATTATAGTACATTCTGCATGTTTCTCGTACAGCCTCTTCAGCATGGGACTTGTCTGAGGCAAAAACCGCACTTTTGGCGAAAGAAGTCGGAAAGCTTCTCTAAGGACCAGTCCTGGTTCCAGGATATCTGCAGGCTGCGCTGTCGAACAGGTGCATGCCCCGATGACCATACCCCTTACCCCGAGCCTGAATCCTAAGCCCCCAAGCCCTAAACCGTCATTGGGGTCTGTGGAAAAGCCAGGGCTGCCGCATAGGGCACACCGTCAACAAACACAGTAAGGTTCACACCTGGCCAGGGTATGTTCATGTTCAAGTCCGTTGAGCCGACTGCTGACTGCTGACAGGAAGGATTCTGAAGGAACCGATTTGCAAGTCGAAGGCTTGGACAGGCCTGCCGCGGCTTCCTGCTTCGGAACGATACAAGTAGGTTCTTCCAGTCTTCAACCCGCGGCGGACCGACCTGCTTCTGCGAAGCTGCGCGGCCTTCTGCTGCGCTGTCGCCGCCTGTTGGATGGTCCACTTCATGCACGGACCGAGTGCTTTCAGCCAGGAGCCAGCTCCTGGGCGCTTTTTCTTCTGCTGGCTCAGAGAGGCCTGTTTCAAGGACATCTCATTGAGTATGGCCTTCCGTGTCCATGCTCAGCCGGCCTTCGTTTTGGAGGCCTCTGCTGAGTCCGTGGCATCCACGTGTCCTGAGTGCGGTGAGGTGCACGGTTGGCCTGTACGTGGAACGTACCGCTCCTCCTTGCAGATTTTGCTTTTTGGCCTGCATAAAGCACGAGCGAATGCAAAACAGTGCTGCCTGCGATTATCGGAATCGTGCATAGGACAGGCCTTCTTTGAGGCCGGCAAATCAAGCTGGGACTGCAATCCTTTGCGCTATGCCAAAAATCATATTACAGACTGCCTTGTCCCGCTGCCCATCCGATTCAATGCAGCAAATTCCCCACACCACCATGTCAACAGGCCAGTCCTTTTCGCTTTTGGGCCTTCCCTGTCTTTGCAGGGGCCTGGTACAGTTGTGCCAACAAAGATGGAGCAAAAAACAAGGGAAAAGGCTGATTTCGTACTGCCGTGGCCCACACTTCTGCATCTGAAGGGCCTCCACAAAACTCGTGGCGCATCATTTTCGCGTGACCATCACGACGGCTGCTTCTGCTGTCGCTGGTCGCTAGTGCTGCTACGGACTGGTCGGCTGTTTGTAGTGCGCATAAAAAACACATCGACCTTGTGCTTTCAAACGCGCTCCGGGCCTGGCCTGGGCTTGCTTTGGCCTCGGCCTTCCTTGGGATTCACTATTCTGGGACATCCATATCCGTGAGCCCACCGATTCCGCTCAGCGCCGAACTTCGAAGCACCCTGCCGCACATGCTCCTCCTCCGCGGCTTTTTTGGCCTGGCCGGGGTCAGCGAAGTTAGCTCGTGACGACTGTATCTCTGAAATTTGATGGCGGCCACAACCTGACAGGAATTCCACAAAGGAAGTCTCACAAGATTGAGTAAGCCACACCGGTGTGAAACCAAGGCTTTTGAGTTCAGTCTTATTCTAGTGACTCCCTTTGGCTGCACATTCCGAAGACCATGGTGGGCTCTCAGACTTGAAAGAGGCAACTGCACGAGGCTACCTTGGTTTTACCTTCACCACCTGCCGCAGGGTCCTGGCATCCGAAAACGGCTTTACTCACTTACGGCTAGTATGCGCCTGCTTCTTCTTCTTCACTGGCTTTTCCATGGCTCCAGGCTCAAGGAGACGAGAGGTCTCATGCTGCTGGCATTTTGCGATGCCTGCTTTCAAACTGCAAGGAAGAAGTCGATTGCCATACTAGCTTTACAACACCATGTCAACATGCTTCGTGGAGGCGTTGAAGGCATGAGCTTCAGTTCTCTTGCAGCAATCACAAGCCACAGTTCTCCTGCGGCTCGGCGTGTTGCAGACAGCACGTGAAAGCGAGGGAGTAAAAGAAAGCAGCTCCACAACTGCAGAGGGCGCACGCTTTTGAGGCAGAGCAACTCCTGCTTGGTCAAGAGTACAAAGCTTTAGCAAGAGTGCCCAAACACGCTAGACTCGCTTGCAGATCTGCGGCCTTCCATGGCCAGCGAGCGCTGGGACGTGATGCGACATTGGCATTCCGGTCTGCGAATTAACTCGAGCGGACCTTCACTGCGCCCAGTTGTCAAACTGCGGCCTCTTGAAGCGATTCATTTCTAACATATACTATATACTGTCTCTGCGGGCGTCACCTCTTGGGTTCTACAACAACTTGGACTGGATCCGCAACCAAGAAATCGTCAAGAAAGTTAGCTGAAACTTGATCTACTCGCAACGGGCTCTGTGAAGGTCGAAAGAATCTTGTCGGACTTTGCCAAACTTGAACTACTCGCATGATCACGGGTGAAAACTTCAGAGCGCTGTCTCGCTTATGTTGAAGAACTTCTCGCTTGAAAATTCGTCCTTCAGGGCACTCGGAAGTTTGTTCTTGCGGGCCTGTTTCAGGTCCCGGCACATTCCTACAAAGCGCTGTTGTCGCGGTGTCCGCATTGACTCATTCGGCTCCCGCTGGCAGCAAGGACGAGTATCCACTTCTTCTGGCACGAAGTCGAAGAGGCAGCAGTCGAAGGAAAGCGAAACCCAAAGGTACCGTCACGAGGCCAAGCCCGAATGCCAGCGTCAGTTTGTGGTCTCGGGCGCTCCGCAAGGCGCCAACCTCCGCCACTAATGCGGTGTAGCCGTCTTGCGCAGCTGTGACCTCACTGTGGTGGAGGGTAAGTCTTTCGACTCGGGTCTCGCTGAGGGGAGGCTGTCGCATGGCCGCGTTCTCCGTAGCCCTCAGCTCTCGCGTTCGCTCCCGGCGGGCGCTTCGGCCACAGCCATGGCAGGAGCCCCAACTTCCCCAAGTGCTCCAAGTGCAAAACCCAGGTACACAGGACCGAGGACACTTGTCCACCTCCTCCCCTGCGAAAGCATCGCAATTGCTGCCGCCATTCAAGGCATACTGCTTGATGTTGCGCTTCCGCTTGCGCTCTCCGTCACACTGGTCACAGGCACTCCAGTCCCTCCAGTCGCCAAACTCGCAGGCTACCGGGTCGCCGCCCTCGCACTGGTCCTCCGCGCAGCCCTCGATCTTGGTGAGGGAGCCTGTAGAAGAAAGACTGACACGAGACCTCTGTTCTGGTTCTACCATCCGCAAGACCGGCTTGCCCCCTTGTCACATCCACAGGACTACATCTGAAACTCTCCTGCCTGTGCAAGGTCTTCCGCCGTTGGCGCGGTGCTGTCGCAGGGGCAGAGATTGAGCATGGAGGATGCTTGTTCGACGCAGATTCCAGAATTTGAAAGCGGGCTCTCGCAGAACTAGAATCTAGGAATCTAGAACAAAAGTCCTTCAGTTGCCAACTCCTGCGCATTATCCGATGCAGACTGCCATTGCCCAGCCCCGCAGTGGCACCTGAACGATCGCCCTCCTCTTGACCTTGGCGCCACCTCGGCTGCAAGCAGCACGTGTTATGTTGACACTATTGAGTACTTGCATGAACTGTCTGGAGGCCACAATGCCTCGGATGCTGTGTAGCTCAACATTTGGCGGAGTATTTTGAATCTTAACGCCTGCATCGCAGACGCCACTTTGAAACGTGTCATCAAAGGCGTGGATTCGGCATGGAAGGGACGGGTACATACGGGTAGCATCTAGGACTAGGAGAGTTGGAGACGGCATCGGTGCACGGTGCACACATAGCATCACTGAGACCGTCACCATCACAGGTAGCACTGCACTCGGACCATTCGGTCCAATTGCCCATCTCGCAGTCCTCGCAGGAGCTGCCATGATCTACCGTGTCTGTAGCCTTCCCTCTCGAAACAAAGCGTGGGTTCCCAGTGCCGAGTCCTTTGTCTCCTCCTGCCCACATCCGTCGGGGTAGGGATCAAAGAGGCCAGGGTTGCAAGGCTGTGTCTCATGGATATCGCCATCACAGAGCACTCCACCAGATCTGCCGTGCTGAATGATGGATCGCTCCCGCTTCTGATTGCCGTTACAAGTTGCTGAGCATGTAGTCCAATCGGACCACTCGGAGAGAACACCTGAGCGACTGAGCAACTTACTCCGGGTCTGTCCCGTTGCGAAAGCTATTACAGGTGTCTTTGAACTACTGCGAAGTGCAGAGTTGATGTTCATCTCGCACCGGTTCCCACCGGGACAGTATCCCCCATCAGACCAAGTCACAATCTCGCGCCGCATGACAATGGTCCACATTGCAGAAAGCCTCCTCTCTGCTCAGGCCCTCCGCCGGCTTTCCGCACTCGTTGGCGGCCACGGCCATGTGGCGTCTTCGGAAGGTGGTGCCGCCTCCACAGGAGACATCGCACGGGGACCACTCCTCCCAATCGCCCCACTCTCCATCAACACAGACTTGCTTGACGCAGGATCGCTCCTTACAGCCCTCCAGCTCCGACAGGGAGGCAGGCTCGCAGTACTCTCCACCGTTCTCGGGCGGCGTGACGTTCCGAGTTCGACCGCGCTGTCCCGATCCACAGGTGACACTGCACTCGCCCCATGAGCTCCAGTCAGACATCTTGCAGGGCCGGACGCTGCAAGGAATCCCCTGGTGACAAGGTCTGCTTTCTGACACGGCACTGTCGCAGCCTTCTCCTCCAGAGGATCGGAGTTGTAGAACCGTCCGCTCCCTCTTCTCCTCTCCGACACCACAAGAGACGGAGCAGCCGCCCCACTCAGACCACTGAGACTCCTCGCAGTTCTTCGTGGGACAGTAGCCCAAGTTGCAGCCGGTGGTCTGGATCATCTGGCTGGGGCAAAGCTCACCACCATTGCGGGGAAACTGTATGATCTGTCTCTGCCTCTTCAGCTGACCTGTACCACAGCTGCGGTCACAATCGCTCCACTCGACCCAATCAGAGACCTCGCAGTCGATCTTGGACAAGTCGCATGACTCTGCCTCCAAGAGGTTACCGTCGCAACCTTCGCCCCCATGCTCGGCAGAGGTCAAAACATGTCGTTGCCTGTAGCGTTGCCCCTCCTCGTCGCAGTGTCCCCAAGCAGACCAATCGGTGAGTTCGCAGTCCACGGGCACGGCATGTTCACAATAAGTTGAGCACGGCTGCATCTCCACCAGGTCGTCGGCACAGCGCTCCCCGCCAGCCATCGGGACCGCAATCACGCTGCGCTCTCGCGTGTGCCAGCCTCGGCCACAGGACTCGCTGCAGGAACCCCACTCCGTCCAGGAGCTCAGCTCGCAGTCGACAGGCTCCTGCTTGTTCGAGCATGGCTTCGTCTGGTGCAGGCTTCCACGACAGGGTAGACCCCCATATTTCTGGTCGTGCAGGATCTTGCGGAACCGATACTTCTGGCCAGTTGGGTCGGCGGTGTCACAGAAGCTCCATTCCTGCCAGTCTCCTAAGAGGCAATCTCGGGGCACCTCCTCGGTTTCGCAGACCTTGGTCTCCTCAAGAGCTCCTACGCAGGCCTCTCCACACTCGTTGTTCCTCCTGGCAACTTGGCGATGACGTTCGCACATGAAGTGCGTGGCCTGCGACCAATCGGTCCAGGCGCCGAAGATGCAGTCCTCCGGGGAGCAGTCTAAGTTCCGCCCGGGGCACCAAGTCACGTTGACCTGGGCGATGTTGGAGCAAGCACTGGAGTCCGCCCCTAGCATGTTGAAGAATACGCCTTCCAGCGGCTCATCTTCTGTCACTGTCAGGACGCGACTCCGCATGGCCGTGCTTGACCCATAGCCGAAGCAGGATGTTGCACCAGTCCACTGTGTCCAAGCACAGTAGGATGGCTTCTGATAGCAGCCATCTTGCGAACAGGCCGTCGTTTCCTTTAACTTGGCTGCTGCACACTGCCGACCAAAAGTATCTGGCAGCTTCATGATGGACCGATGACGGCGCTTTTGCCCTCTGCACCCAGAGCAATCACTCCACTCAGTCCAGGATCCAAGCTGGCAGTCCGCATAGTCGCGGCCAAAGCACTGTGGCATGTAGCAGGGCTCTGTAACCTCGAGCGCACCTCTGCAGGTTTCGCCCCCACCTTTGGGCTTCACAAAGATGCTCCTGTGGCGCGAATGCTGTCCACCTCCACATGTTACAGAGCAGGGAGTCCAGTCTCTCCACTCTGCCAGGACACAGTCCACTGGCTCGACAACCTTCTTGCCGGGACAGTCCGAAGGCTCCTCCTCGTCTACCGTTGGATTGCAAGCCTCGATTTCTCGTAGCTCCTCCTGGCACGGCTTTCCTCCGTTCTTTGCGAAGACCGACACAAAGCGATTCCGCTCCCGCACGCCATCACAGCTGCAGCTGCAGTCAGACCACAATCCCCAGTCGGAGACTGCACAATCCAGAACAGCAGCCTTGGTTCAACTTCTCTATCTGTACTGAGGTATCTAGATTCAGCCCCCGCCCTTTTCTGACTGCAGGTCTACAGAACGATTAAGCCATCAAGCACAAGCCTTTTACATCTACAGTGCTGCCAGGCCAGGTTGCTGCATCGGGGCACTCTGGCAGGTGCTCGCACGCTTCGAACTCCTCCTGCAGCCCAGTGGGAGGCTGGCCGCAGTGGTTGGGAGGAATGAGAACGTCTCTGCGCCGGGATTTGTAGCTGCCAGAGCATGTCGCTGAGCAGGATGTCCACTCCATCCACTCTCCCCACGTGCCGTCCCGACATTCTGACTGGCACGGCTGCGTGTTGCACGCCTCCACCTCCTCCTTTTCCCTCGGATCACACTCCAGGCCTCCGTTGCGTGGGGCCACGAACACGTACCGATGCCTGGTGGCGATGCCACCGCCACAGGAGCAAGGGCAGGCAGACCAGGCGGCCCAGTCGCCCCACTGGCAGTCCTGCTTCACGCAGTCGCCCTCATTGCAGATGTCTGACTCCATCATCGTTGCTTCACAGCCCTTTCCGCCAGGGCCTGCGAGTCGCAAGATTTTGCGGTGTCGGGTCTTGGAGCCATCGCCACAATTCGTGGAGCAGTCAGACCACTCTTCCCAGTCAGAGAGTAAGCAGTCCTTCAGGCTGCAAGACGGCCAGGAACGAAGGCACTAAACGTTCAGAACCGCGCAAGCAACAACAACCGTCCCTGACTGCCGAGCTTGCCGAGTTTGCAGTCCTCGTTGGAGTACTGGTCGGCGCATCGATCGGAGTTGCAATCTTTCGTCTCCTTTCAAAGGCTTTAACGGCAGGCTTATCACTGCTTGTCGCTTGGAATGCAGCATGCCCCCCTCATCGGACCTGCCTTCAGAGGATAGTTGGCCTTCTCCTACAATCGCAGGTGCGAAGTTGGGACAAAATGGTGGTAGCCTGACTCACGAGAAAAACCAACAAGCCAAGCCTCGGCGTCAAAGCGTGCAAGCCCCAAAGCTGCACGCTGTCGGAACGTCTGGCCCCCACCACAGCTCCTGGTGCGATGAACGGCTAAAAGACAGCAAGTTGCTCACGAGCATCACGGCAATTTGGCTGCAGCCGGTATGGCGCCACGTCCTCGTGCAAGGCTGCCAAGCACCCCAGTCACTCAGCAGGTACCTGCATAACCCTGAACAACCGAGCTTTGCAAAGCACAACTTTACGTTGACACCACCTTTGCATCCCTTTGCTGTCTGGCATCGCAGCCGTAGCGAGTCATGTCACGATAAGCTTGACCCGACCCGGACCGAATCAAAAATGACAGGATTCGGATAAAATTCGGATGATCCCCGGCAGTTCATCCCGATCCCTGCAGGTCACGCCAAGGGCCGCTCCAGCACGGGTGGGCAGCCCTGCAGCTTCTCCAGAAAGGGCTCTTTGAAACGAAGACACACGGAATGGCCCATGGCTAACCCCCAAATTGCAAGGTAAAAGCCACAAACGGTGCGGAACAGGAGGAGGAGGAGGAGGAGGGCCGGGCCATGCCGGGCCTGCGTCTGGAGCAGCTCCGGGTCGCAGGCCTGTCCCTCTCCACGGGGTGCCTGTCGACTATTGCTGATAGCCGTAGTCGACTGCGACCGACGCGACGATCTACTGCTCCCTTCCGACTGAAACGCGGCCGTTGGCAACCCTTGACCCTTCAATGGGTGCAAGCTTACCACATGTCTGCACACATACACTGACGCGGAAGACACGCACGAACAAAGACACACAAGCGCATGCCCCAAGCCGCTCCCACTCTATGTGCCTCCAGGATCCGCCGACTTCGGTACTGTTGCCTGAACACCGACTACATGCTTGCATCGAGCAGAGGGCAACGAGACAGCAATGATTTGTGGCGTCCTTGCATTACACAAGTCCCATGTCCAAGTTGGTCGGGCTCCTGCTGCATGTTGATGCTGAACGCTAGTATATAGTAGCAAATTTTCTAGAAATTAATCTGAATCAGACTAAATCAACCAGGTGAATCCTCTGCCAATCACTAAACTCAGTCACTGTAGCCACACATGGCAACCACAACGGACATGCCCAAATTTCTATCTGTTTGCCATTCGGAACCCTGAAAATGTTGGCTGCGCACCTGTCAGCACCAACGCACCCGGACCATTCCGTCCAGAAGCTCAGTTCGCAGTTCCGATCGCCGCATGGCTCGATCTCGCACTCCTGGCAGTCCCAAATAGACAAGACTTACTAGGCTTACTCCTTCCACATCTTGAGGATGCAAGAGAGTCAAGTCTAGTTCAACCAGCAGTAAACGGGATTAAACGGGTTCCTTATGAACGAATTGGCCGTGACCCCTAAACCCTCTCTAAGCCGCTGTAGCAGCTGCTTTAGCTGCTGCTTAAAAGACCCAGCAGAAGCAACGTCACAGCAACCTGCTGCTAAACTGCCCTAGGATACCGAATACCAATCATAACGACAATTGCACCTACTACTGCTACTGTGCCTCGGTGTAAAGAGTGATACCGACGTCGCAAGGCAGTCCGCCGAAACTCTCCTGCGCCACAAAGGGTGCATGAGGTCAGAGACTCACATGTGCTCTGCACGTCCTCGTCGATGTCTCGCATGCGCTGCCTTCTTCCTACGCCACATTTGGCGCTGCACTCGGACCACTCGTGCCATTCCTCATGTCCAGAGTGAACAGAGGCTCTCTTCCGCCCTCTGCACCCCGGTCATGGCTAAGATCCCGACGGTGAACTTGCAGTCTACTGCTTTCGCGTTGCACGCCTTCCTCGTGTAAGGGTCTCTGTCCAAGACATCAAAGCACTGTACAGTGCATCACGGTGCCAATTTGCCGTCGGGTCACGTCTGGTTTAGTGCGCCGTCACACTGGCGCCGACGCAGGCTGTTGGCATCGTGGAGCAACTGGCGAATGTCAGCCCGAATTCGGTCATTGTGATACAGCCGGCAGCATGGCACTGCGAACCTCCCGCGATCGCTTTTGCTGCCCAGTCGGGTCTGTGCAGTCTCCTACCCAGAGTGTCCAGTCCTTGGCCAAAGTGGAGCCGACCCGATGAATTCTCGGTGGCGCATCAGACTTTGACGCTTTGACTTTGACCCCTGCCGAGAATTTGCAATCGACGGTCACGTCTCCTTTGCACTCCGGCGGCATGTATGCCTGACCAGATGCTCCCTCGTCATACAGTCGCCTGGAAAGGATTGGACCACCTTTGGCATTAGATGCTGCGAGCCTGGGAGTCGACTGTCATGCCGTGGCACGGCTTGCCGCAACTGAGTACGGTGCAAATTCAAGCTGTCATTCAAGAGTGGAGCACTGCAATGACGCGCATGAAACCAGAAACATGTCTTCTGAAGATTTCTGAAGGGTGACACACGTGAAGCTTAGAATTGCAAGGCACAGCAGTCATCTACATCGCGCGCACGGCTCTCGCTTGTGATCTTGACACAAACTCCTTCTCCGCTTCAATCCAGGCTGTGTCGCAGGCTGGTTGTTCTGACGGGCAAAGGCCCGACGACGGTAGCGCAATCCTTGCTCAACAGTCCAATGCTGGTTTTTTCCGTCCTTTTCAGTGCCGGTCTGCAAGGCAGGTTTTGCCCACTGGGCATCCGGGCCGCTGCACTCCTGACCGGGAGAGACCTTCCAGGAGGTCCACTCTGCGAACACGCAATCGACAGGCTCGCACCTCGGCGCAGCAACACACTGCGACTTCCATAGCAGGTGCCATGGTGTGTGCATATTCTGAGTGCGGTGTCTCACATGCCAGACAGTGAGCTGCTCACGTGTCACACTCCTCCGGACTTGGGCAAGTCTCCCAGTCAGTCTCGGAACCGTGACAGTCCTTGGTCTTCAGACGTCTCCACTGAAGCCCCGCGTGGAGCGCATCGAGGCCCTGGCCGTGTCGTCCGGCAACATGTCGCAGCCCAGCTTCTTGTTAGCACCTCGACAGGAGAAAGCAGCGGAAAGGAAACACATGGGGACGCTCTGGATGTTCTGGATGCAACCTCTTCACTGGGGAAGCGGCAGCAGTACTGGACCTTGGCGGACTCCCAGGCATTTGGCAGGTCGGCATAGCAATCGAATGGTTCCTGCCCATGTTCGCGGATGCAGGAATCTGAATGTGCGCTTTCTGCCATTCCCCTCTGCTCTCAAGCCACACCTACATCGCCGACTGGCCACGGCCTACACAAAACCCCATCTTGCGGATCACTCAAGACCGGCCATGTCTAAGCGGGAGCTTACTCCTGCGAGCTAAGTCCTGCCAACATCAGTGCCGCATAACACCAACTTGAAGCATCTGCCATCGCTGAACTCTTGGAAGAAACATGAAGAAACATTCATGAACGGCAAATGTTGACAGGAGTCCCTTGAAATTGAAGCATGCTCGTGAGACTTCAAAGTTCAGAAGAAGCTGGTAGCGTGGCCCCAGAGAAATCATCGGAAACGCCGGGCCGGTGCCGGCAGCTCGTCTGGCTGTGCAAGGCTCGGAAGAACCTGAAGGTCCACGCCTCCCATTCGTTCTTGCTTTCTTCAGCTGTGCCTCGCACGGCCACGTCCGAACAATATTTACACGAACATCTGGGTCCCAGGAAGATGCTGCTTGCTTCTTAGAAAAGCTCAACCAAAGCATTGACCTCGACCAACTGGTCTGGTCCAACTCCGCCGAAGATGTGAAATGTGGAATCCTCGCGTGGCAACTCCACCACGCAATTATTCAAAGTGAATGGCCACAGGCCGTGGGCATCTCCTCGTTTGAAATTGAGAACCCAAACCGGCATGGCAAACAACCTTGGTCTTTGGGCTGGGTGTCGCACTTCAACTGGAACATACCTCTCCCGTCAGACTTCTTAAAGTTGGCATCGGGATTTGCGGCGCCCCAGTTTTGGGGGAAGGCGCCGAGGAGAAATCGAAAGAACTGGCCTGTACACAGGTGGTAGAGTTCAAATCCCGGCGAGATGACCTGCTTGTCGGTCGTCTTCAGCTTGCGAGAATCCACAAGCCACTTCACGAGATACGACCCCGGTCTCCCAGTGGGATGGACGTAGATGCTCTGTGGCTCCTCGTGGCCTGTGTCCGGAATTCCAAGAAGCCGCGCAACCTCGCATATGTATGCCGCGTACTCCGGCATGAGGACGATCTGGCTCGTTTGCAGGTAGTAGATCCAGTTGATCCATTCCTCCACGGTGTACTCTTCAAATGGTAAGTACGCCTAGGAGAAGCGTTCCTCGCCACTGACGCCGGTGAAAGGAGGAGCTTGTGGATCCAATGTGGACCGAACCTCTGGCGCGCTCGGTGACTGCGCCTCGGGAGGCTTCTCCTGAAGTTACACTCTAACACTTGGACTGGCCAGATGTTCATGCTTAGCAGATGGCAGGCAAGAGGAGGGCAAGTCTTGTCAGATCGTCAACAAGTACCAAGATCGCTAGAAAACAACCCGATACGGCACCCCGACACTGCAACTCGAAACGTTCAAGTCCGAGGTGGAAACCCAACCAAAAAACTGGAACAAACAGCCAACATCAAAGCCCTCAAGATCTCACCTGCTCTTGCTCCTCGCACCGTAGTCGTGGTGGTAAGGAAGAGCTGCGACGGCCTGGCTTCTCTTCTTCATCTTCAAAGTCGATGAAGGTGTTCACCACCTTGGTCTTCCACGTTGGGAGGTGTGGGCCTTGCATGATGAGTGAGGTGGTTCCAGCACGTGTTCCGCTAGGCGAGGCTTGAGCCACATAGCCGGACATAGCCTGTTGAGATGCATCATTATGAGGTCAAGGCTGGCATGGACGGGTCAGGCTTCGTATGATTCGGCTTGCTGACACAAGCCGTGCCTCGCACATGCTGGAGATGCGCTCTCGAAGATGGTTTGTCCCGAATCGACCGATGGCAGTAACAATGAGGGGACCGGCAGTGAGCAACGGTGAGCCATCAAACAGCCACTTGCCTACTCCTGCTGCCATGGTCAGTCTTGCAAAAGGGCCAAGCAAATCTATCTATCTTGCCTCCGGCTTGGGCTTCGGCATCTCCTTCGAAGCAAGTTCCAGAATCGAGATTCAGCTGGTGGCGATCCAGAAACCACGCAGCAATGGTCCTTGTGGAAGCAGTGTAGGACCTAGCAGCAGTCCAAGCCACATCCACGCTCTGACTTGCACGAGGACTCTCTCGAGCCATGCTGAGCCTCCGACCAGGTGCATACCCCAAGGATCATTGTGGTCCGTCCTATGAGCGCATATCTTTCCGTTCTCGTGGTAGATGTGGAACCTAAGGCACCGAGTGACCGTTGGAGCCGGAGGACCGGACATGTCAGCAAGCCTCACTTCCCTCCAAATTGCATTCCTCAGCCTCCGACGTGTCCGGAAATTCACCCGGCCTCCCTCTCTGGGAAGCCTCATCATCGCAGTAGATATCACCCGGATCATCCACCTCAGCACCGAAACAGTTCACTGATGCAGGGCAGAAGCAAGCAACAACATTATGGTCCCGACACACTTGGTTGAGGAATGCATGCTGCTGCCAACCACAACCTCCACCATGCCAACGAATCGCGACGAGCCCTGTCACGGAATTCACTTGGCCGACCCCGTAAACTTCGCAAACTCAGGTCCTTGTGTGTTGGCGTCTCCCAATGGCCAACCTGAAGCGATACACACTCGAAGGATTCCTGTACACATAAAGGCCTTGCCGTTTATCTAGCATGCAGCAAAACACGGCGGCAGGGCCTTCGTGCAGGAGACCACCTTGTATGCATCGACAAGCTCACACTCATAAGCCTGGTTTCTGAAGAGAAACTCCAAAAGCCCTCGGGTCATCAGAGCCTCAAGAAGCCCTCGGAAGCCTCAGACGCTCGGGACCCTGCCAAGTGAACTCCCCAGGGCGAGGCCGCATCCGTCCGTTTGGCACAGATCTTCCCCAGGTCATCCTCGTAGATCTTGAACCTTTAGGGATGAAGGGTTCAGGGAGTTCGCCGGTTTTCCCTATTGCATCTTGATTTGTTAGGCTGTGGGCTTGGTCTTCCGCCTCGCCCCGTAGGGCACATCTTCTCTGCATGCGCAGCTACTGCTGCTTTGCCTTCTCGGCGCTGTCAAACAAGTAAGTATGCCTGACATGCCCCAATACACCAGTACTTCTTCTGTGCAGAACCCCACCGTGGCACTACATCATTGTTCCCCACATCAGGGAACACCGATGACACCGATGACTCCATCAAAGGAACTCATTCAGCAGCACCAACCAGGTAAAGTTTACGCTCATCATCAATCCAAACTCATCGTGCGTGGCATCAGTCTGGAACCGGTCTTATCTCCGTTCTGCACACAACTCACAAAAATGGGATCTAGCTGCACGACCACAACAGTTGTGACGACCCCACGTCCAGTCGTTGGTCCGAGACTGTCAAAACTCTCGATTTGGGAGTTTCCGAAAATCGGGGACCCCCAAGAGAAGGTACCCCAATTATCGCAAACTCCCGTTTGAAGACGACTGCTATCGAGACTGACACTGGGCCAGCAGCTTGTCTTCAGGATCTTCGGGACCGTCTGCCTGCCACGCTGCAGAGGCACATGAACAAGCAACACCCTTTCAACACACCGAAACTCAAAGTACCTCCCAAATCCTACAACCTGTTCCAAAATCCCAGAACCCAATCCAAGATCCAAGCCACCTCCCTACATCTACAGCCAACAAGCATCACAATCCTTAAACCATCGTATGATCTAGTCGGGTGTCAATGACGCTAAACCTTTGACGGCAATTTACACGCCGACACTCACTCACCGCTGAGCACGAAGGAACGAAACAGGCCACCATGACAGGCCAGAAAATGAGGCACAGCTTGTCCCAGCCCTAAACCTGTACTACTTCAATCAAGCAGATACTTTCCAGGCTCTGACTTTGTCCATACGACAACTCCCTTACCTGTTCATCAGATCCCACAGCGCTGCTTGCCTGTGCAGCCTCCTTGGGGCAATCGAGCTTTCCAGGTGGCCACACCTCGGTCCAAGGCTCAGGCTTTCCGACATTCTCCCACGGTCACCCGCGCATTCGCGCCCGCGCCCCGTCCATCTTCTTTGGACAGATGGACTCGGCTGTGGAGTCTAGGCGCAAGTGCCGGCGAAAGAGAGGGCCCGGCCCAGGCTGGGCGTGTGCTTGTTTTGCAGTGGCACGTCTTCTCAGGTCGCCAAAGCCAGTGTCATGCATGTCATGTCTAAAACCATGAAGGAACGAACAGGTACTCCCGCAGAGTCAGGGACGCCCAGCTCGCTTGCTTGCTTAGCCTTTGGGGTTGGGCAAGCGTGCTCCCCGCCACCAGCAGCTAGGCTCTACGCCAATGTTCCAGTATGGTTTAGTCGGTGTGAAACTAAGCGTTCGGCAGTTAGAGAGCCCCTGGCATTGCCGGGCCCGCTGAGAGATCTATCTCTGAGGCAGCGACGCACTTCAAGTCCGATTGCAGGCTGCTGCCGATGATCATGGAATACGCAGAGCCGTGGCCGTGGGATGCTCCGAGAGATCCTCCGAAGGACATCTCCGAGTGGCTCTCCGAGTGCCAAGCCTCCGCGGAGCCAAGCAGCGACATGCAGCAACGCAGCAAGGGCTCTCACAAAGAGCTCCGATCCGGTCCGGTCGTCAAACCTCGCCTGCCCTCCCGAAAATTCGTGAGATCCTCCGAAGCTGTGGCTCTCTGAGAATCCCGCCTGCAGTGCGTTGCATTCATGCGTCTCATGAGTCCCCAAAGAACACGCATCGACCAGACCCGGATGCGGTGCTATCCGAGAGAGTCACATGCGCTGCGTGTCCATGATGGTGGCAGTGAAGCACCTCCCCGACGCCAAGTGACAACTGTCCCCTGAAGGTCGGATGCTGAGGGCTCGGCCAAGTGGAGCCCCCATGGTTTGTCGTAGTCTGTACGATGTGCACAGATCTGATCCCCATGGTGGTAGACGTGGAACCTCAGAGCTGCGTCTGCACAGATCACCATGCAACCTCTGCTCTGGTCTGTGAACATTGGATCAACGGCTGCAGAAGCCGGGCAATCGGGCAAAAGGCGTGAGCTCCGGGCGTGTCTGGCCACTTCCCGTCGCGGGCGATTTGCGATGCTTCGTCATCGCATGTCACGCCGCCGGGACTTGGGACCTGAGGTGCCCGGATGAAGGAGCGTTGCCGTTCCGACTCTTGGGACATTCCCAGTGGTCTGGAGTCTGGGACAGTGACGCATTTCGTGGAGGAGTCGGGGCTGCTTCCGATCTCGATCTGCATCCTGCCGACGCTGCCTCCAGCGCTGCCAGCGCCACCCGCAAGCGCCTTCAAAGCCTCGAAAAAGGCGATGTGTCAGACCGGTACGTCCGGAGTGTTAAAGCACTACGCAGCCAAGATGGCGGATGGACGCAGGCCTCTTCCACGGACTTGCCCCCGCCGTGCAAGTCATGGACCTCCGGAAGCTCACACACACACACACACATACAAGCATTGTCATCTCAGCAGCAAAGCCTCGTATACGAAATCGTGATCGCTCACGATGTCCGCTATCTTCCCCTGCACGAAAGCCCCGGTTCTGAAAGGGATGAAACAGCAGGTAACTGGTGCTGCTGGCCTTCGCGGGCAGGCAGTGCAAAACCTGAATGAAGACGGCCAGGAAATGCAAACAGCCGAGAACTCGACAAAGCTGCCGACACATTGACATCCTCTGAGATTCATGCCAAATCCAGCCCCCACGGCTTGTCATAGTCGACGCGGGTCGCGCAGATCTTGCCTTTTTCGTGGGAGATCTCAAACCTCAGCAGCTGGCTATGTGCTTCCGAAACAGGGGTTCAGCTCGGCCAGTTTCATGTTGACGTAAGAGCTTGACTTGTCTGGATACTTGTCATGTCGCCCCTTCACGGACGCTTCGTTGTCACAAGTGACATGGCCAGGATCGCGCACCTCATAAGGGCTCCAAGCATTGAGTTGCCCCCTGGCCGCTTCCGTTAGACATGCAGGCACAAAGGCGAGGCCAGGCTTCGGACGCACTTCTTGCTAGAGGAAAGGCTGCTGCCAATCGGAATCGCCACAAGTCCAGGGAAGAGCTGTGAGGCCTGTCGTCACTTTAGACCAAGAACGCAAAAAGCTCCTTGGCAGGGGCGTCCTGAAACTCGGGCATGGCCATGTCTTTGGCGTGTTCCACACCCATCTGGCAATGTCGGCATGGGGAGCTCTTGTGCACAAACCAGGACACAGTTGCGGCTATGCTAATGTTCCTGATACTGCACGTGCCTTCTTGCAGTTCACGACCTGCACAAACACCGCAGATTACTAGAAAGCGACGTAGTGCACGCGGCTGAGATCCTGACCAAGTTGCTCCCCCAAGGGTCTCTGTGGTCCGTTCTTTCGGCACAAACTTCACCGTGCGAGTTCGTGTAGATGTGGAACCTAGGGGGACCCGCACGCCGCAGGCTTTCAAACCTACAACACTCCCTGATAGTGTCACTCCCTGATAGTGTCCCGAAACATAGGCATGCGGACCTTTGTGAACGACTTTGGCGTTTGTGTTTCGGAAAAGTCGTGTAGCATGGCCTGTGGTGCTGGCGGCGGAAGGTGGAAGTGGTTTCGGGCAGCGGTGGTGGCCCCACAACCACCACAGCACCAGCATCAACATCAGCATCAACATCAGCATCAGACACATCATCATCAACAACATCATCATCATCACGGTCGTCATCATCGTCATCACCACCATCATCATAATCGAGCATGGATATCAACATTATTTCGCCTCATCCCCATCAGCTTCCCCCTCCTTGTCAGTGTCATCGATTCCGCTTCCTTCCCCGCTGCATCACGGCAGCATTGCCGACATGGTCTTCACACGGTGAGCGATCTCTTGAAGATCAATGATGGCATGCCATGATATGATAATGTGCACAACGCATGGAGGACGAAGGATGACGAGAAGATGGTGATGTAGATGTATGGCGGTCACGAAGGACCAAACGAGCCAACAAACCAGCCCAAGAAACGTTGAGGTTGAGAACTTAGCGGACACAACTAGCCGGCTAAGGGCCGCAAAGGAGTCCTCTCCGGCAGACGTTCATGCACGCCATGCTTAAAAATTCGTGACGTTTGCCGGGCGAGATCTTCCGAGGGCCGGCTTCGGAGCTTTCCATTGTGTCTTCACAGACGTGAACTGCGAACCAACTATTGAGCTCACTGCAGATCGCCATGGTGACGAGACGATCACTATCTCTACTGCTCGTCTCGTGATGACTGCTCTACAACCCTGCTGTAGCCATTTCAGAATCACCGCACGCTGCCAAAGCTGCCCTCGTGAGGCAGGTACTGGTCAGGGTGCTTGCCATAGCTATGCGCCTAGGCCACGGCGTGCTGCGGGGTCGCGTATTCAGACGACAGGGTGGGGCCGAGTTCGCGGGGCTTGCAAGTGACCCCACCTGACTGGCAGTACGAGGGCAGTCCAGACGAATGGGTGTTTTGACCTGGCAACGTCAGACACAACGGCCTGAGTCAAAGTAGAACGAGCTTCAAGAGATTCCATTCCCAGTTGGCTGAGGGGCAGACACACTTGAAGTTTGCATCATGGCTGCTGCCAATGACTAGCTTCACTTCGCTGATGCCGCCCAAGTCCTAAACAGCTTCCATACCCTTCCGACTGCTTGGAGGGTGCAACGAAAACACAGACAGAACTCGCCGTGACAGTTTCCTTACCTTTCCGAGTGCTTGGAGGGTGCAACAAGAACAAGCAGACTTCGCCGTTTCCTTGCACTTCCGATTGCCTAGAGGGTGCAACAAGAACAGACAGAATTCGCCGTGACAGTTTCCTTACCCTTCCGATTGCCTGGAGGGTGCAACAAGAACAGACAGAACTCGCCGTGACAGTTGCCTTACCCTTCCGATTGCTAGGAGGGTGCAACAGAAACAGACAGAACTTGCCGTGACAGTTTCCTTACCCTTCCGATTGCCTGGAGGGTGCAACAAGAACAGACAGAACTCGCCGTGACAGTTTCCTTACCCTTCCGATGGTGCAACAAGAACGGACAGAATTCGTCGTGACAGCTTCCTTGCCCTTCTGATTGCTTTGAGGGTGCAACAAGAACAGACCGAATTCGCCGTGACAGTTTCCTTACCTTTCCGATTGCTTGAAGGGTGCAACAAGAACAAACAGAATTCGCCGTGACAGTTTCCTTACCTTTCCGATTGCTTGAAGGGTGCAACAAGAACAAACAGAATTCGCCGTGACAGTTTCCTTACCTTTCAGATTGCTTTCAGGGTGCAACACGAACAGGCAGAATTCGCCGTGACAGTTTCCTTACCCTTGATTGCCTGGAGGGTGCAACAAGAACAGACAGAATTCGCCGTGACAGTTTCCTTACCCTTCCGATTGCTTGGAGGCTGCAACAAGAACAAACAGAATTCGCCGTGACAGTTTCCTTACCTTTCCGATTGCTTGGAGGGTGCAACAAGATAAATAGCAAAGCATCAGCGAGCATGCATGGCACACATGGCGGATATTGCTCAAGGCCCGTGTCCTGCGCTTCAGGCAGGCCCAGATGTGCGCCAGATTTCGACACCGATGCTCCCTGTGCTGAGAGCCGCAGGTTGTCACTGTCAAAGACCCATCACTGTTCTAGTAACTCGGCCTCCTATTATGAACCATGATTCTAGCTAGAAGAAGATAGACCGGTTTCTGCCTCCAGCTGCCCCCGGTGAATCGAACTACTGAAGCTGGACGACGAGGAGCTGCCCTGCAGCTTTCTTTTTTGGTCAGAGTAGAACTACCAGGTTGCCATGCACTACCCCTCCCTTCACAGCTTCAGCATCTGTGATGTCACAGAGGGCCATGGCAGATGCTCAAACACACCGAGGTGATGTAGAAGCAGAAGCACACCTCCGAGTGGAACTCCACGTGGTGGGTAGAGGATCCACCCTGCGGGCAGCGCTCTGGGACACACTCTTGACTGCAACAGTGCTGCGAGCATTGCCTCGTGGCTACTGAAATGCCAGTGATGGCTCTCAGAGTGTGTCACCTCTCGGAGTGTGTGTGTGTGTGTGTACGGCATCATCCACTTTTGCAACATGGACGCAAAAACATGCTAAGGCCCGCTGCTGCCGCTTGAGGGCTGTGATCACAGTCCACGACCTTTTCCATCTAACAACTGGGGCATGCAGCAAGGACGGGACTGGGGACTTCGCACATGGGCACTTTATTCAGAGGTATCCCCATGATCGGCAAATATCACTGTGTTTTCCTCGCAGACCACGCGGACCTGCTTTTCTCTTGAACCAATGCAGCTCTCACTGCCTTGCGCCTGTTTGGAAAAACTTCGGCGGCAGAGCCCAGAGCCCGTCACAGGAGCGCGAGCGCCTCCTCCTCGGACGCGCGCGGTCTCTGCTCGTACGGGGATGTTTGGAAAGGGCCTTGAAAGCAAGTCACTAAGCCACTAAGCCTACCCGAGCCTGTCCCTATGATCTATGATCCCGTATGCACGAAAAGTCATACGCTCAAACGAAGCGGGCCTGTCCTTGCACTTACCATCCTTCTCCAGAAACTCTTCAACGCCGAATAAGGCTTGATAATGGGGTCGCGCTCTCTCCATGGCCTCGAAATCGAAGTATGCCACAGGCCGAGAGCTTGCCATCACGTGTTGCATCTGCCGTAGCGAAAGGCCCAAGAAGAAGGTCAAATAACCGCATGCAGCTGCCACACTCCGACCCACGCCCGCGTTGCAGTGACTGTAGACGGTATGCCCTCTGCGGATAAGCTGACCGAACAGAAATGATGCTTGTGGCAGCATTTGTGCACGACCGTCAGTGGACATGTCAAACGTCGGCATCCAGATGTATTGCATGCCTTTGCTATCGTAAACACGGCTCACCGCCATGGGATCCTCCTCCATGCCAATGCCAGAAACACAATTACGCTTGCAATCCTCCTCAGTCTGAAAGTTCACCACTACCGAGACGCCGAGGGATTTCAATTGGTCTATGTGCGAGCGATGCCTGGGGCATGAACCCACAAAGAGCTGTTCTAGCACCTTCCGAATTGAGATCTCGCCGCGCTCCTTTACCCCTTGATAAAACCGCGCCGTGTGATCGCTCTCCCCGCCGCCAGGTTCTGCAAACCGCACGACCGGCAAAAGGACAGCTTGCCCATCTTCCTGCGCTTCGAGTTCCAGAACACGGTTTTGGTGGCCTCCCAGCTCCTCCCACTTGACACCGTCGTTCCCGCGCTCCACGAACTTGTACTCGATACGTTCGCTGCCGGCTTCGGGGATGTCAACATCCGCCCAGTGAAAATCAGGTTCGGATTGCAGCCGGGCATTTGCCAAGCGCGGTTTCATGCTCACGGCCTTCTCCAGGCTCCAATTTCCGAGAGATGCGCAGCTCCCAATCACGGCTAGTGAGCTGCCTGGCGGACCAAAGGACACCACGCTGAACCGCACCATCTTCCTTCCATCTTCGGAGGACATTCTGTGAAGACTTCAACTCCCTAGCATTGCGCACGCCTGGCAAACTCGCTACTGCTGGCCGTGAAACCTACCCTGAAGGATGCAAAGCTTACAAAGCTCATCAAAGCTCATTGCTCAGGTTTCGAGGCTCAAATCTCTCGGCGCAGCAGGCTGCACGCTAATCAGGGCAACCAAGTGCAAAGACGGGAAATACGACCGAACCCTGATCTGATTCAGGTTGATGTCATGTGCCTCCAGATTCCCTGAGCAGCCAGCCAAGTCGAAGTTCCACGGGTCGAGCGTGGTAGTGCAAAGCATGCCATCGTTGTCATGGAAAATCTTGAACCTTCATAAGGGTGTCACTCAGTTTCTTGTACTGTGGTTTGGCAAAGCAGCTGGGGGAAGCACCGCACGGTTTTCCCTGCAGAATCTTCCTGAGCAGGAAATGCCACCATGTCGCGTTGCACGCGGGGAGACAAAGGACAGCTGCCTGCGTTACCTCTGAAGGGCAGTGATGCCCTAGTTGCGGCTTGACCTGACGAAAATTTCAAACCGTTGAGACTGCAAAATCGCAACTTGACCCTGGGTGGGTCTGAACTCTGTCCATGCCAACGGCTTTCTGAGTGGCTTGCGCATTTAATGTTTGAGAAAGGACTGCTGCCAATGGTCAATTTTGACGACTCGGCCTTGGAAGGAATGAGATGGAATGAGCAACACCTGCTTCATGCAC